CAGTTTTTTTAAACTACGTATATCCTATTGAGAATGTATTAGGAATATTAGGTGAAGAATATTCCTGAGATTTTATTATTAGCATATCTATGGAGAATATCATATGTATATTTAAAAAGGGATCTTCTACGAATATTTTATAAGCATATTAATATTTTATGAATATTCTAGGTTTATTCAGAATATAGGTATATAATCTTTTTAGAAGGTTTAGAGAATATTCTCAGAATATATGGTGCTGTCTGGGCTATGTCTCAAGAAATAACGTCAAATACAGCCTTGATTTCTATTGAAAGCTCCATCATGGAAATATTTTTGACAAACATAAAACAAATTTTGTAAAAAGCGAGGAAAGTTTATTTGTAAAATAGGGTTGTTGACCAAATTTCAAAAAGTAGATAATATAATTCTACACGTACTAACTAGTATGTATACACAATTAGAGATTGAAAAATGCGTCAGAACAGTTTTAAAATAATTATTTAAAATTGATTTTTTTATAACATTTCAAAACGGCTGTGACGTCATAAGGGGCACCTTGTAGTGAAATTATGTGTAAATGATTGCGTAAAGGAAAACAATTGGAAGAAGATGCTCTGTCAACACTTTCAGTAGTGTCAATCTGTCAGTGACACTGTCGTATAAAATATTTTCAAGTCCATTTCTATTTTTCTTAATCTTCAAATTCCTTTATTAAGTAAAATTATTATTTAGCAATAATCATTAAAAGCTTCCCTTATAATTAAAGCAGAATGTGTGAATTAGCATTTGTGAAAGCTACTTCGCAAATTTATTTGCATGATGATAATTTACAGGGCGATTCACAACTTATTAAAAAAAAATTGGGAATAGATGCATCATGAAAAATGAAGATATATCGTCAACAAAATTTTTGTAAAATCCTTAGTTCCCTCCCTATTCTTCCCTATTTTTTTACAGAATTGTATTTGTAAGAGTCCCCTGTACATACATTTAAAATTTTTTTTTTGATAAGTTCTGAATTACCCTATTAACTTATTATTTTTTTAATTCCGGATTATTGGTAGATTTACTTTTAAATTTTTTTACAAATAAGTTCTTAATACTTTTTTGTTTTTACAGTTGTCTTTGTGTTGTTTTTTATTTATATTTATTATTTACTTAACCAGAAACTGCAGCTTTATATTTTGTTATGACTGCGAAGTTTGTTTATATATTACGAGTAGAATACATATATGTATGTATATTTTTTAAGTTTTGATAATTTAAGTCAAACAATTTTAGTCCACAGTACAGGCCCCCCTTGGAAGGTTGATTACCACATACTTTCTAACTCGTGAGGGGCTTCGTTTTGACGAATCTTTTCCTCTGCGACTTTTCTCGATTCCTCCGCTTTTCCACTCGGAAAAGTTCAAAAACATGGCAATTTCCCGGGGTCTTGAAAAGTCAAGACCACATCTTTTTTCTTTTAGCTCAAGTTACTGGAAATTTTATTGCAAATGCCGATTTAAATTTGTCCGACAGAAATTCTTCCGACATTGACGTGTCTACCGGCCAAAACACGCCAAAATGACAGGGTATTGAAAATCAATTACCACATAGGTAATTTTTAGTAAAATTAAATGTAAATAATTAATTAATTGTCAAAAAGTACTGTTGTCCGACGAATTTTAAGCCGCGTTTTTTTCAGTCCGACAGCTGGAAATCGGAATTTTCACGGGGTATGATAAATCGATTTCCACATAGGTACCTATCTAATTTTAATTTTTTCCACTTTTAAATTTGCTGTACAAAATTGTGATATAAGTGTCCGACGATTGTCCGCAAATTATTTAAAAATCAATAAATCAATAATCGTGATGATAAAATTTAATTTTTTACTCCAAAAATTGAATATTTATAAATACCAAGTTATTAATTATCTCATTTCAGAATCAGATCAAAGTGATGAGGATGATTGTGATAAAAATTATGACACTGATGAAAACGAATCTTCAAGCGAAGGATAATTAAACGGCTAAAAGGTTAAAATTTGCAAGGATAACATTTTCTCTACATAAAACATATTATGCATTTGAGGATCCATCGGAAAGAAAATACTATAAACTGTTTCAGGCAGTTTAAAGTAATTAATTTACATACTATCTTAGTGCATAATGCACTATTTCTAAATAAATATTATACTTGATATAAAAATCCTTTTTTCTCTTTTGTCTTCATTCGCGTTTGTTATTTTTCTTGACCCATGACAAAAATATAATTTAAATAAATAAATCCCGTGTCGAATCAACACATATGGGTTGTTTGGTTTTAGCGTTTACTTTGATACTCTCTTGGATGCATAAAAGTTTTATTTTTTAATGTACACACACATACAAAAATTTTCCTATTTTTCTAAAAGAATATCCCAAAACTTTTGTGCATAATTTTTTACACCATACATACTTTTTTGAAATCGTTTAATTCTTTTCTCGATATTTATTTGGCTAAATTGAGTATAAGAGATTTACAATTACAAGAATAAAACGAAAAATAAATATTTATATGGAATTTTGCTTAATACATGAAAATACCTTATTAGAAGTTATAAATACATGTGCACATTTGTTACGAAATTTTGTTCATCTTTTTTTTTTGTCGGACTGACGATTTGCGGATATATTTTTGTCGAACATTACAATTTTTGCTTATATAGACTTAATTATTTACAATTAATTCTACTAAATTACTTATTTTTATATTTTTGTTACGTTTTTAAAAATAATATGTTTGTTTTTGAGTTTTTGCGTATTATCTTATACATTTAATTTAACAATTAAGTAGGAGCGCAAATTTAAAAGTTTACCTACAGTAAAATTTCTTCTAGTTACGGTGTTTAAGATTTTTTTTACATGTTTTCCTGGCCACTTCATGTCAGTATTATGTTCTAAAATATTTTCTCTACTCATGTTTAAATTTTCTAACTTTTCCAAGCTATATATATTTTCACAGTGTAGTGTAAAAATAATTTTCTGAATATTTAATTTTGTAAAATATATTAAGTAGGTATTAAAATTTAAAAAATGTAGGTTTTCAAATTTAAATAAAAGATCTTATATAGTTTTGATAGTTTATGATACAAAATTACTTCTCATAAATAACATCTCCCATAATTATATACTATAAATAAAAACATAACTTATGAACACAATATATCAATTTAAATATCATTCACGGTAATACAAATAATGATAAGTATCAGAGAGCGGACAATTTGTGACTTTAACCTTGAACATAGATATGTCATTCATAAACCTAGATACATTACCCATGACGCAGTGGCGTGTCGGGTATGCATCGGAAATTTACGTGATAATTCACGAAAATTCCACTGTACATATATTTTTAGGCGTTATAAAATATTTAGAAAATCAGAAATGGTATACTACATATTTATTAAATAAAGTTCGGTTAAAAATAGTGTCGTTCTTTTAACTGAAAATTAGGAGTCAATGTAACGAATAGCCTCAGGCGACGCACATGATAGAATAGTCCAACTCACGCTCCATTCATAACAGGGCTGCAGTTTGAATTCTGACCAATAGGAATTCGATAAACGCAACCGATGTCGACGGATGGACTAGAGATGGGCGCGAGTGTCATTTCATTTCTTTAGAACTAAATTAACTTAATTATTTTCTCGTTATTTAACCTGTTCACATGATTTATGGATTTTAAATAAAGGGTACAAATCTTCGCGAGGATAATACGATATATTTGCTATACATAATAATTATATTTTGCATAGTTTATACACAATACATTTTTGAACGCGTACACATCTCTACCAAAATTTGACCTATTCTTCGGGTTAAAGTCACACATTGTCCGCTCTCTAGTAATAAAACTTTGTTAATGTGGTATTACCTTTCGCACTGCCTTAACGTCCAGCTGGCTATGATCCAGAGAGAGACCATGAACACAAGTAGTACCGTGCCCGGACAGATAGTCATTAAAGTTTTTAAAACGAACCTCGTGTTAAAGTTTATCCTATTGAGCGCACCTATGCTCCGCGACGAAGCGTCCGTGAACAACTTACTATGCAACAACATCACTCTGCAGATTAGGTAAAGCCTGAGGAACATGGGTAGAGACAAGGGCACGTCGTACGGAAC